CCCCCCCCCGATGGAGTGGATTAAAGTTAATACGGACGGTGCTTTGTGTTGTAGTACTGCTAAGGGGAGTGCTGGTGGATTAGCGAGGGACCCACATGGTCGTTGGTTGGGAGGCTTTCTTATGAATGTGGGTTTCTGTACTATTACGGGAGCGGAGTTATGGGGCCTTTATCACGGGCTTCGATTGGCTTGGGATTTGGGAGCGCGCAAGGTGCTTGTGGAAGTGGATAATAGTAGTGTAGTAGCCATGACGTCGGGAAATGATGATAATCTTGGTCTTCATGACTCCATTGTCCAGGCGATTCGTGAGCTTCTTAGACGGGCGTGGAGTGTTCCATTGTCCCACATATATAGAGAAGGGAATTTCGCGGCTGATACGTTAGCAGCGTTAGCTGCTAGTGCTCCGGTTGGATTTCATCATCTTAGTTCTCCGCCACAGGATATTGGCCACTGGCTGAACCATGACATGTTAGGTGTGGCTCGTCCACGTCGAGTATTGATCTAGTTACCATCAGGCTACGGCCTCCTTTTGTACCTAAGAAAAAAATAATAATAATAATTGCGTATATATAGTTCGAGAAAAATATTAGCATCTATACGGGATTTGTGGCAATAATTATGAAAGTGCATTATGTCAGTTACCAAATAAAAATGATTTTGTTCCTATAATTATATAACTGAAGGCAATCACAATTAATAAGAAAAAAAAATCTTATAACATGACCTTGTCGGGCCGGACGATCCATCGTGATTTCTCCTGCGTGACGACGGCGTGTTGCCGTTGTAGGCGGCTAAATTCCGACTTGAGAAGTTGTAGTGGTTGCGGCGCTCTGAACGGGTGAGTGTGGCGGAACGTGGACGGAGAAGATGTTCGTAAAATGAACGACCTCCTCGCCGGAGAACGCGCCCGACGATGACGGTGGCTTAAGTCGTCCCCTTCGAAGCTCGAGAGTATCATCAGTTGCTGGCTTGGACGCCAGTTCCTAGAGTATATATGTAAATTGACCAAAGAATATTTTCAGTATATAATGAGTTTATGCTCAGTATATTTTAAATATATGTTGCGTTTTTATATACATCTTCGCAACATACAATGACACAACCGACCATGTCAATAATTGTAACAAAAAAATTTAAAAGCTTAACGACAAGCATCATAATCATGTGCAAGACGAGCATCACAATAATTTCAATTTATGTTGCGTTTATAGTTGATATAGTTTCAGTATATGTTGCACTTTTGTTTACATAAATTTTACGATCTCAAATGCCCTGTTTCGCATGCACCTCTTGAACAACAATCGGACAACATCACTGGACAAACTTATGTTTGGTCTAATCTCTTTATTCAACATCAATATCATCAAAGTATGCTAAATATACCAAACATAAACATCATGCAAACATTGAGAAGAATATAACAAGATTAAGATCGATGAGCGCCTTCGTCACGTCATCCTTTTCGCCTTTGCACTTCAACCTCTCATCAACAACTCCACTGAAAATCTCCAACAGCCGCATGATGAAGTACTTCGTCCCTTCGGATTCCTGCGGGTCGACCCATTTCAGAACCGGAAAGAAATACGCCATATTCGGCCTCTCGAGACATCTCATAACTCTCTATACAACATCCCCGACCTCCCGAGATGAGCCCGACTTGAACCCAAAAAACTCCTTGGAAAAAAGGGTTGTCGACATCAAGTTGAGGGTCGTCATGAACACGGCCTCCCCCATATCCACGACCCGAAACGAATCACGACACGACTTAACCGAACCTGCCGGTTGCCACGCCATTCAATCCGCCGCAGAGGGATGATGCGTGGGTCGGTTGTGGGGTAATGAAGCGTGAAAAGTGGAATCTGTTTTTTTTTTTTTTTT